GACAATTAAGCATATAGGAATTAACATTCAAGCGGATAAATAATACAGGCAAAGATGAGCAGTTAATAACAATAATCGAGCAAATAATATAAATAATAGGAGTAAATCAAATAAAATACCAATAAATAATAATATAATATTCGAAAAATTCTAATAAACGAATGGTTGTCCAGATACAGCAAATATTATATATTTGTATATTATTTATGTGCTATAAATATTTCAAATTTATTTGATTAGAATTAAATTGTTTCGACGATTTTTTAATTTAATCGCGTAAACAGATTTTAATCCGTTTCGAACCGTTTTCGAGCCATTTAAATCCGAACCTTAAGTTTTTTCATCTGGTCCAATTGAGTTCTATTTTCGGCCATGCAAGCTATTAAATGCTTCAGCCCGTTTTAACTTCTAGACCAAATGAAGTTTTAATTTTGGGAAAAATACATACATAACCCCTAGTCTAGATATATTTACATAAATACAATTCGTAGGAAACATAATCAAAAGAGGAATAATATTGATTTCTTTTTCATATATACGAGATTGTGAGATCGGTTCTCTCTCCATATAATGGTTTTCTCTCTCCATATAATGAAAGGCGAGAAAATCACGCAGAGAAGAGAAAACGTTAAACGATTGAAAGAGATGGCGATCGTGATTACCTATACTTCAGGAAATCACGAATTCAAATTTAAAAACCGGGATTATCATATCAACGGATTCGTGCGTGCAAGAAAAAAGCAGAGTGAAAAAAAAAACCAAACGAGGTTGTTCGTGAAAATTGATCGTGAAATAGCCGTGGATTGAAAGACATCTGAAGGTATATTCATATTCATATAGTTAACTTCGTTGTTTGGTGATGGATTACAAGATTATAGTTTTTTTTTTTAAAAAAAGAATTTAAGCTTTCGTTTGAGATGAATATTGAAAGCTGAAGGTACAAAAACGAATTTGTTGGTATTTTTTTTTTTTATTTTAGATGGCGTTTTTTTTTGTAATTTCAGATTTCGTTTTTTTTTTTTATAATTGATCGGGAATTTCGCCATTTTAGCTATCGATCGTGAATTTTGTTTTTTGTAATTTCAGATTCATGTTTATTCATGTCGTTTTTTTTTTACCCTGTTTATTTTTCAGGAACATGAATGATGTAAATGTATTTTTACATCATAATGGAGTATGGATCAACAATGAATACGTGAACTATGATGTCGGAGGTATTTTGATTAGTTCATCATGTAACTACAATCAACTCCGAGCTATTGTTTTCGATAAACTGAAGGTAAACGCGTATTCAAATGATCTGGAGATGAAGTATCAAGTGAAAGATGGATATCCAGCTATGAGTGTGGATGATGATAGCAGCCTACATTTCTATATTTCATTGAAGTCGAAGGAGTGTGATTACACAAAGTTGCCCTTGTGTGTGGTTTTAAAACAATTAATAAACGTATCCTCACTCGTTCGAGGCATAATGCCAATGTCTACATATCCGTCTGTGTGTGATATAGAAGGGTTAAAATGTCTTGAACCGGAACGGGGGAAAACTGAAAAAGATGAATTTTATAGAGCATTTGCCGAACATGCTGCGGATTCAATGCTTGAAACAGTAAAGTATACGGAAGATAAACAGGAGATAAACAATTCCAGAACACTTGAATGTGGTGTCGATGGAAGTATGATTCGGGATGTTGTGGTCGGACAAACTTTTAGAGATAAAAATGAAGTGATGAAGTTGCTCAGCCACCATGCAATAACAAACTAATACCAGTTCAAAGTGGAGAAGTCTTGTCCGAAGCAGTACTACATCAAGTGCATATGTACGGAATGCAAATGGTATGTTAAAGCGTCAAGGGTAGGAAATTCCAACATTTTCAAGATTCGGGATGTGGGGCGCAACCATTCATGTCAATTTGAAATACATACAAGTGGTCAACGACAGGCTACGTCCAACATTGTAAGTGGGTTCATTCGATCGAGATTCACAAATTTGAAGACAACTTATGTTTCAGGGGACATAATACACGACATGCAAGTTCAGCATGGAATAGAGTTGTCTTACCAGAAGGCATGGAGGTCAAAGAAAAAAGCTATGGAAGAAGTGCGAGGTAATCCAGAAATGTCTTATGGTAAAATAAACGAATACTTGCAAAAACTTTGTGAATCGAACCCACATAGTGTCGTGAGATTGTCTGCCACATCGGACCAGCACTTCATGTACGTATTCATGTGTATTAATGCTTCAATTAAAGGTTGGAATCATTGTAGACCTATTATTGTTGTCGATGGGACTTTCCTTAGTTCGGCATATGGAGGGATATTGCTTACAGCATGTTGTCAAGATGCCAACTCCCATATACTTCCATTGGCATTCTGCATTGTTGATTCTGAGAATAATGATTCATACACATGGTTCTTTTCAAAGTTGCGGGAAGCACTCACTGTCCGGGAAGGTTTGTGCATTGTCTCTGATGGACATGAAAGTATAAAACATGCAGTTGCAAAGGTATATTTCTGACCTCTTGGGTATATAAAAGTAATAAATACAGTAAGTAAACAAACTCATATGTCTGACCTCTTGGGTATATAAACGTAATATATACATTAAGTAATCAAACTCATATGTCTGACCTCTTGTGTATATAAACGTAATATATCCAGTAAGTAAACAAACTCATATGTCTGACCTTTTGGGTATATAAACGTAATATATACAGTAAATAAACAAACTCATATTGTTGTAATCTTTGTCATGATCATTTAAATATATTTTATTTATCATGCAGATATATCCAGAGACTTCACACTGTTTATGTGCCTATCATATATCGAACAACTTGCGGACACATTTCAAGAAAGAACCAAACGCTGTTAAGGATGCCTTTAATGCAGCTGCGATGGCATACGCTGTTGATGATTACAATCATCATATGGTGGAGATAAAAAATCTTGATCCTCGAGTACCCCCGTTTTTGGAGAAAATTGGAATACATAAATGGGCAAGGATTCATTGTCCAAACAACAGGTATTTTACGATGACGTTCAATGCGGCAGAAGCACATAACTCCGCCACGCGAGAGATCCGTGACTTACCAATAACAACACTTTTGGATTCATTGAGATATTTACAACAAAAGTGGAATGTGGCTAATAGAGATGAAGCAGCGTCGACGTTTACAACGTTAGCAAAGAAGGCTCACAAGATGCTCGAAAACAATTATAAAGTAGCTGCCAGCTTTTCGGTGAGATACATTAAATTATATAACATTATGTTGTTTTTTAATATACATAAATTTACATATAAATATGTATATATACCATTTATTACACGATGTAACATTCGAAACTGTTTTTTATTTTTTTTATTTTAGATACAAAAGGCAAGCGACAAGGTGTTTAAGGTGTCATCCGACAGAAGTGGATATGTAGTAAATTTGGAGACGAAGTCTTGCACATGCAATCGTTTCCAGATGGATGAATTGCCTTGTCCACATGCCATCCGAGTGATTAGAGCCCTTCATTTGGATCCAGTTCCATTTTGTTCAATACATTACTTAACGGACATGATGCTAGCTACATATGCAGAACCAGTTTTCCCTATTGAGACAAGCCAAAAATGCAGCGTGGTTGATTCTGATGTCATTGGAAATATCAATCCACCTACTGGAAGAGTGAGGCCAGGACGTCGGCGACAGCAAAGACTCAAGCCAGGATGGGAGTCTCGGGTAAAAAATAGGTGCAGCAAATGTGGTGAGAAAGGGCATAATGTAAAGACATGTTCAAATCCAAAGAGCGTTAAACAAAATTAGTTTGATGTGTTTACTTAATGTTTACGTTTTCATAATATTAATGACATTTCCATTATGGTTGTTTCGTTATTCCTTACTTTTGGTACATTTGTACTAGAGTATTTTATAAAAAAAATGAATGGTGAAATTCAAACCTACATAAGTTGTACATATAAGAATATGGGGCCAGTGGTTATTTGGTACATTTATGTGTCTTATGAGTATAAATAAAAATTAAGTAAGTGACAATCATGTACTCGAGTTGACAATACAGTATAATATACGTTAGATAAACAGAGTACTTAAAGTATGTAATATACATTAGTTAAACACGTATATGTGCTTATGTCTATATGTTATGTTTACAACATGGGATAATATACGTTAGATAAACACATTACTTAAAGTATGTAATATGCAACACGGCATAATATACATTAGATAAACAATATGTGTGCTTATGTGTACGTTAGATAAACAGAGTACTTAAAGTATGTAATATACATTAGCTAAACACGTATGTGTGTTTATGTCTATATGTTATGTTGACAACACGGGATAATATACGTTAGATAAACACATTACTTAAAGTATGTAATATACAACACGGCATAATATACGTTAGATAAACAATATGTGTGCTTATGTACACGTTAGATAAACAGAGTACGTAAAGTGTGTAATATACATTAGTTAAACACGTATGTGTGCTAATGTCTATATGTTATGTTGACAACACGGGATGATATACGTTAGATAAACACATTACTTAAAGTATGTAATATACAACACGGCATAATATACATTAGATAAACCATATGTGTGCTTTTGTCTCTATTTTATCTTTACAACACGGCATAAAATACGTTAGGTAAACACATTACTTAATTTATTTATAATATACGTTAGTTAAACACATTACCTAAAGTATGTGTGTGTATGTCTGCAAAAACACATAAGATATAATTACAAGACCGGATAGGTTAAGATCGTGCAAAATCAAATATCCAAATCAATAGCACCAATATACATTCACTGAAGTTCACCAGAAAAAAGTAAAAAAAAAAAAAAAAAAAAAAAAGCAAAAAATGCAACAAAACATAATGCCAAATAGTATCAACATGGTTCAACTCTCCACACACAAGACAAACAGTACTCCTTCAAAAGGTAGGCATATTCTAACTAACTGATGCGAGTTTTGCACATTGTATATCATCAAGAATGTTTTTGCTTCATACGACCATGTTGGTATAGCTCGTATGAGTACCTCATCCTCTCTGTGTCGGGAAGATAGTCGGTCGGGAGATCAAACTTAGTGATGAAGTATTCAGCAAATGAGGCAACAAATATTCCGCAGTCACTGGTATAAAGCATGTTAATAAAACGTTAAAATTTACGTGGATAACTACATAAAGGATGATACAAAAATTAAAAGACTTTACCCTTGCTCCTGCTGAGGAAGATTTTCAGCCATAATAACATCAAGTGGATCATTCACCCCTTTTCCATCGAATGCTTCTCCCACACTGTTGATGTCGGTCCTTTTGGAGTAGAAATGGACCATACCGAGGAAAATAGGAATGAGAGTAGAATAGCACCGAACACCATCGTAGAGAATCTTGTCAAACTCTTCTGATCGCAAAGAATTGTATGCAACGAGCCTCCTCTCACCAATGGATAATCGTCCCAGTACCCAGTGGCCAACACCGTTCAAATCAATATGAATTGGAAAGAGAATATGATCAACATTGAAAACACGACTCTCCACAAATTATCTTGTATCCCATTATGTAATCAACAACAATGTTGTCCAAAGAACACACACCCGTATTGTACCCTCTCGAGACATATAAGTCAAACAGAGCTTTGATTCTCTGATGAAAGAGAACATCGGTGGTGGTGTACCGTACGACGTCGTTAGAACCATATGGTCTACGCTTCCTCAGATAGTAGAATAAATCATCCATATGTTGTATAGGCATGATAATTCATAGTGATTAGTAGGATCTTAAAAAATTTATTTATAATAATATAATGGCATGCACAGTTGTAGTAACTATGTACTTACAGTGTCATCAAGGAAGGAACCAGGTTCAACCAGAGTCATAAACCAATTCTTATCAGTGATATGGTGAACATTGAAGTCGAATGGCGGCTTCAGCGGCCTGAATCTCTTAAGGTAGTGCTCGAACCTGTTAAAAAAATAATAATTATGACATCGTGTGTATTGTATTACCAACACTAAATTTATGTTTTTATGACAATACAGAAGAATGCCCCATTTGTAACCAAACTATACAACACTTAGATTGTTTAAAATAAATTAAAAAAACAAATTTTACTAATACTTACTAAACAGTAATATATTCTGTAATATAAATAGTAAATATACAATATTATATAACTTACTCGTGTTCACGGATCTTTTGATAAGTCCGAAGCATACCCATTCTTAGCCACCTCATGAAGTCCTCTGTGTCAACTTCAAATATATTCTTCCAGAACGGAACATTGAATGGACTTGAATTTTTAATCACATTCCGTTTATATGAAGTGGCTATAACAGGGTTTAACACAGGTGGTTTCATAGGCTTAGCAAGTATGGCCACACCTAACACATCGTTGGGTCATTATTAGTTGTTTGAACGGGGACTTTCCCTTTTTCCTACAAAGTAGATAAACCATAATAAATTAGTGAAAACATCGTTTACGAATAGATTGTTATGTTAATCATGATAGGCTAAAAAATATCAAAATATAAATTGAAAAAGTAACTCACACTAACACTAGTATGGTTCACATCTCTTGAAGGTTGTGTTGGAGGTAGATCTTTCGTTATTGCCTCAAATGATGGTTGAGACACAATGATCGGTTCGGATATGAGACCGATGCATTCATTCAGTGAAAGGCCATAGCCTGCAACTTCCTGAACAATATATTATGTATATGTTTATCTAATGTATATGTTTAATGTATATCAACTAAAACGGAAAAAAAAAAAA